ATTTGGCACTCAAAGGGTTTAAAGTTTATGAAAAAATTTTTGCTTGGTCTATTGCATGTTGTAGCAAAAATGTAGTAACTAGTTATAAATCTATTTTTTCTCATTTTTGTTACAATTTTACTGCATTCATAGTCATGCAGCATTAAACCAATTGCATGTAGTTTTTCAAAATGTGTCGTTCAGAGTTCGAAATTTTTCTTATTTGTTGACTTTGCCTACATCATAATCATAGAGTCACTATTAATTATTTCCTGTCAAATTTAATTCTAGGCTCGTGTGATATTTGAAAAGGGAACCCAAGTACCCTACGTGAAAGTAGACGATTTGGCATGCGTCTGGTGTGAATGGACAGAAATGGAAATACGACATGAGTAAGTCGTAAAAATTTACCACAGAGCATTTCACAGCTGAATTTGTTTGATATTAAAAAATTAGATCCAAACAATTTTTTGTGAATGTTCATCTGATTCAAAGTTTTGCAGATTTTGATTCATAGAAATAAATCTCAGAATGCATTTGTTTTGGTCACATCTGTTTTAACATGTATTGCAAAAAAGGGTAGCTTGGCTCCTGACAATATTTACAATGTATTGTTTTGTAAGAAGAATTCAAATTACCTCCTCAGTACATACTTCTCTTATTTCATTAGCTATTTTTTTGTTTCTTTTATTAAATGAAATTTTGTATATATTTTGTTTCTACAGGAACTTTGATGATGCGTTGAAGTTGATGCAACGAGCAACCGCAATGCCCGGCAGAAAAGTAGCCTATCATGATGCGGTATGGATGCTGTTACATTCAATCAGAGCACCCTGGTAATCTGAGCTTAACTCAGCTGTTCCATATTATTGAAATACCATTATAATATTATTCTTGTCATAACCAGTAGAAAATCTCTGCAGGATAGCCAAAACTTTCACTCACCTTGGCACCTTATCGAGTATCAATAAAATAAATATAATATCCCTGTCCTTTGATTAAATCTTGGTGTGTATTCTTTTACAACATATGAATCAGAGTTATTGTTATTTCAGAGTGAGCCAGTGCAGAAAAGAGTGTACAAGTCGCTGAAAGTCTGGTCAATGTATGCTGATTTAGAAGAGAGTTTTGGTACTTTCAAAGTAAGTAAAATATTTTTGCCAGGCATGTTACGCAATTTGTACATTTAGTGGTATAGTTTGCAATCACTTTGATATCACGTTTATATAGTTCTCCCTGAAAAATTCGCTGAAAAATACTAATTCCCTAGTCTTGTAAAGCCTCCCCTCCAAAAAATGCATGTTTTGTCTGTTATTTCAAGTTGTTCAATATGTATGCATTAAGGTAAAAATAATATTACTGATTTTCCATCGCCGTCATCTGTCATCGTCGCCAACAACAATTTCAACTTCTTCTTCGAAACCGCAAGTCAGAATGTTTTCAAATTTGATATGCAAGTACCTTGGATGGTTCTTTCTCTGATTTGTTCATTTCATGTCAAAATCTCAAATTTTCTATTTTTGGTGAATATTTTTGTCATTTTGGGTAAAAAGTGATAATTTCGATTTCTTGTAAAAACCGCAAGTCCAATTGTTTTGATATTACATATATACATGTAGGTACTACATGTGGATTCTCTCTTTGTTCATTTTATGATGACATCTTCAATTTTCTAATTTTGATGAATATTTTTGTAATTTTTGGTGAAAAGTGATATTTTCGATTGCTTTGATACAATACATATTGTTCATTTTCTAATGATATTTTCAGTTCTTAATTGAAATGTGCATTGCTAAAAGCGGAGCTATCTCAGCCGACAGGCTGCTTGTTCATTTCATATTGATTTCTAACATCCTGGTATATTTTTTTTCTTATACAGTCTACAAAAACAGTATATGATCGTATAATCGATCTGCGTATAGCGACACCACAAATTATTATAAACTTTGGTTTATTCTTGGAAGAACACAATTACTTTGAAGAGGCTTTCAAGGTATAGTTCAATTTTGGGAATAAATTTGTGTTACTTGGTGAGTCAAATAATCCGGGACAATGCTGAACTGATTCCATACATAGGAAGTAGAATTATGTCCATTTACTGAGCTTGTTACTGCACACGTGCAATGCATTATGGGGAATTATTGAATATCATGGAAATCGATGGAAACTAAATTAAATATTATTTTTTGAAAAGTTTTTACTACATAAGTGTCAAATTTCACGATATGAATAAATAATTTTATGAATTATATGAATGCAGATTTTCCATGAGATATTGCCTTTATGATAGGAAGATGGTTACAAAGCCCTGTCACATTTTCCCAAATATGGAATGTGGTTTTATTGACAAAATGTACTTGCAATTTGCACGTAACATTTAATGTCATACAAATATTTGAAATAAGATTTTGCATCTAGTTTGCATTATGGTTATAGTCTTGTTATGAAAAATGTCAAGAACAACAATTGGCAACACTCATATTTGTACAGTGACCACTCGCTAAGTCGCAACCCAATAAGTCACGATTTCGGCTAAGTTGTGGGTACTTGGATATCTCCCAAAATTGTGTTTTGATGGCAGTTTTGAAGTATAAAGACTAATTTTTCGTTGCATAGTGTATTTAACTAACCGTTAAAGAGACAGTTTAACACCTACTGTCCATCAATTACTGAGATACAATGGGTGACGGCGGCCTTACTCAAGGATCCCTACACTCGCGATATAGCAAGAGGCCATTGTATATTGTTGTTTAAATATTTATTTTTTATTATTTTTATTACAGGCATATGAGCGTGGTATATCATTGTTTAGATGGCCGAATGTCTTTGATATATGGAATACTTATCTTACAAAATTCATCAAGCGATATGTAAGTAGATTGGGAAATCTAGTGAGAATTTGGATTTTCATAAATGAAACAAGAATTTTAAATCTTGCCAACAAATTGTTGAATTTATGATCGACCCCGGATAGTGATTGGGCATTGGTAAGCAGGATTATAAGAATGAAAACGAACATATTGTTCATGAGCAAACATTATGAGAAAACTTGTTGAGACAAAAATTATTCAAATTTCTTTACATGAAAGTGTCATGGTGGGTTTGGTTAAACAATTCGTACAATTGAATGTAATTGATTTTACGATTGTAAACAATATTTTGTATATATTTGAATTGATCACATTGCAAGCAATGCTGCTTATTGTCTGATAACTGGTCAGCACTGGGTACAGATCAACCAATGAGTACATACCATTTCAATTATTGGCAGCACTCTGTATTAAAATTTATAATAATGTAAATGATATTGTAAATAGTCAACTCACATATACACATCAAAATGTTGACATGTTTACGAACAACTACATATAAAACAAAATGGGCCTCTGTTATAAATGTCCATTCATTGACATATGAAATAATTAAATAACCATTTATATTTTTAGTTTGAACCAACTTCAAGTTTGTCACTATTGAGCATGTTAATGCATATGTGCATTGCATTATGGGAGAAAACTTCTTGAGTCTGAGTGATAGAAAATTTTCTTTTGAATACAGTTATTACAAGAATTATAGTCTGACATCATGAATAATCAATGACGCAAAGTTGTGCACTGGGATGTCATTCATGACTTAACACTATCAAATGTTTTTGCAATCCAGGGTGGAACAAAGCTGGAACGCTCAAGAGATTTGTTTGAACAGTGTCTGGAAGGATGTCCAGCAAAATTTGCAAAAGGTAAGTGAAGGGGGAGGGGGGGGGGTTGAGGGACGCATTCTCATCTGACAATAATGAACATTCAAAGTTCTTTAAAGCTACAATGACAATTCATGTTTTAATTGGTGCATATTTTATATTTTCATAGCTCTATTTCTACTCTATGCCAAGTTGGAAGAAGATTTCGGTTTAGCACGTCATGCCATGGCAGTCTATGAAAGAGCCACCGAGTCTGTTCTGCCTGAGGAACAGTATGAGGTGAGACAACGCTGTACTGGGAGGACCTTGACCTTCTCTGAAAACACAGAATGTTTGGATTTAGATATCTTCGTTCATTTTTAACTCTTAAATATAACACATATTAATATTTGTTGCGGTAATATATTATTAAAGATTATTTCTAACCTTGTCATTTCAGATGTTCAACATTTACATAAAAAGAGCGGCTGAGATATACGGTGTAACACATACAAGGTCTATCTATGAAAAAGCTATAGAAGTACTGCCCAACGACAACGCCCGTGAAATGTGTCTGAGATTTGCCGATTTAGAACGTAAACTTGGCGAAATAGACCGTGCTAGGGCCATTTATTCTCACTGCTCACAGCTGTGTGACCCAAGGGTAAGGGTTGAGTGACGAAACTAGAGTATTCTAGGCATGATATTGAATGAGATTTTATGCAAATATGCAGAGATCAAATCAAAAATCCATTTTGTCAAATGAATTTTAGTCAATTGTTAAAGGTAGTTGCATGATTGTCATAACAACATGTTTCATAGTCTCAGTATCAGTGGTGCGATTAAGAACATTTGTACGAAAATGTTTCATTTTTTAGTCAAACCATGGAAGTGAAAGACAGAAGGAGTTACAACTGGTTTAAGCCAATTAAATTTCCCTTGTTTCTAGTTGAGTTAATCCTCTTATTTTGTCTGTATAATTGTTGATTAAAACTTGTTTCTGAGACCAATTGATGGCCGACTAACAGACAGTGTTATTAATACATGTATTATATCAGTTCAGTAGGCAACAACATGTATGCGAAGCTTTATAGTTCAGTATTTTCTAACTCCCTGGTTGAAATAACAATAGACACATTTTGACGTACAATTTGAATATTTTAATTTCAAGGTAACACCAAGTTTTTGGCAGATATGGAAAGAATTTGAAATTAAACATGGTAACGAAGACACAGTACGTGAGATGTTGCGAATTAAACGCAGCGTGCAAGCGACATATAACACGCAGGTTAGTTTGAGCGTTAACTGTTATCTGGTTTACAGTCAATGTAAAATCTATATTGAAATACTTAATGTAATAAAAGCAAAACAAGCAGAATAATTATTTTAACACACTCGCGTTGTTCTATATGCGCTCCTGTATTTGAGAAAGGAACTTGAGATTTGAAATAGGATAGTGATTTTAATAGAGCTTGTATGATACCTCAAACGTGTACGTACTGTAGAACATGTTGAAATAGCTGCATGCAATTTTAGCGGATTTGACTCTTGGCATGAATTAACAAAATCTTAATTTAGCTAAAGTATCGACTATCTTCTTGTGAGAATATATTTCTGTTAAATTAGCTACATTTTGAATTAGCGAAATTACAGATTAGCTAAAATAGCTAAAATAACATGCTAGCTGAAAAGACACGTTTTACAGTATATCATACATGTACGTCTCTTAATTTGATATAAAATTAGTCCCCGTTCGGACGAAGTCCGAAAACGGGGACTTATAATTCGGTCTTCGTGCGTCCGTCCGAAGTCATATCTCAGAATCCCTTGGACTGATTCCGTTCATTCTTTGCATGTGCCTAGTACTTTATGTGGGACATATGCACATGCAGTGGTTTAGCGATTCGATTCAAAATGGCCGACTGGCAGCCATCTTGTTTTTTGAAAATGTTGTATTTTGGACATGC